CATATCAGTCTCTTACTAGCACTTACTGGCATGCTTTCTTTGTCTATTTTTGATGGGCAAATGCAACGCTTCTTCTATTTGCCACAGTTATTAACTCCTTTTTACCTCTTAGAAGAATTTTAACTTCAATATTGTGTGGTTCGTAACACGACAAAGGTCAAAATGTGCTTTTTCATTGTAAATATTTCACAAGTTGAAAGCAAAGTTTTCACAAACAAACTATAAATACGAGCAATTATTTATTGTGGCATGGTCACGATGCTGGGCTGCAATTTTTTATCATATTTTTAAATCATTTAATTTAAAACATATGCTCTCCACCTCAAATTAGTAGTTGCTTGTCCCTGTACATCATAAACAATAGAGTCGTGCCGGTCATCTATTAACTGCTTTGGGGGGGAATTTTGAATTGAAAAAACGTGACTTCCGGTTTGCATGGGAAGTTCGTATATAGTTAATTGGAGCTTCCTGTCCATATCCATATCTGGTCTCGGATTTTATCTAACTCCGTTCTCGAGATTAAGACAGACGGGCAGAGTACAGTAAGAATTTAGGTCTACAATTTTTTTCAAATTGCAGCCCCCTTAACCCGTCGGCACGCGCCTAGTGCCGATTAGGCACTAATCGATTTTTAATTAGTTCGTGTAAAAATTCTTATTGTGTGAAAAATCTGAAAAAATTATTACCTGTCTAATTTTTCTTCAATTTTACGATGCGCAATTCAATTTTTGCTTAAAGCGTCTCATTATTTTTATTTAATTATTGGTGCCGAATCGGCACTATGGCGCGCGTGATCTCGGATTTCAATTTTCAAATTTCCCGCCAGTCGCTGTTACTAAAAATAGCTGCAGCTACAGCGCGTGCTTCTTCGCTTATAATCGCGTCATTATAAAACGAATAACTTGTAAAAAACTGAAATTTGACCGGAAATAATTTCTTTCATTGGTATTTTTTAATCATTTTATAAAGTTTTATGACACCATCACATTTCCCTGAGTGGAAGTAAACAATCTGTTAGCCATTTGACCCTCGGCTTACAGAGAAGGAAGTTTTTGAAAACAAAGTAATAAAGCGATTAGCAGTTTGTTGTTTTTCACAGTGGAGGACTAGTAAGTCTATATAATAGACTCTAGTAAGACTTATTAGAGTCTATTATTTACCAGAGAATAAATAATAGAGTTGAAAAATAGCACAATTCCGTGAAATTTAACAAATCTGATGTCAATAAAGGAAAGNACATTAATTTTTAACAAATAAGCCTTAAAATGTTGGCTGTCAAAATATATAATGATAATACGATTTAAATGAAAATGACGGGAAAAATATGACTAATTCCTCTAGTGGTAAAAAAAACAAACTTACTTTCCCCATGTTTCTTTATGCAGCGCTCGAGAAGTGCATTACAGCGAACACACTGAAACTGGTTTCTAATTGGCCAACACTGCTCGTGATGTCATTTCGCTACACTCTCGCTGCATAAAGAAACGCGGGGAAGCTGAAACAGGAACTGCCACCATGACAGTCCACGTATCCGGACATTAACCAAATTAAAACAACAAATATGTTTACAAAATAATTGACTATATCTATTCGCAATAGTACTCTAAAACACATTGTACTTATAGTTTAGCATTTCTGATAACAATTAATTAATTTTTGAATTTTCTTATATTTTATATATAAAATGCAAATAAAAAAACAAAAATTCGTGAAACTTAATAAAAAAAATATCTGCAACTTCAGAAAAGACATATATATGGGAATCTATCAAAAAAAGTTAGCTAATGATAACTAAAATAGAGAAAAAAATAAAACTCTCAAGGTACGGTCATTTCTGTTGTAAAAAGTGACATATCTAGTCACTAGACATATAGATAGTGACGCGTATCTAGGACTATAAACTTGAACGGGAGCGAAGATGAAACACGACACTTTGTAATTTATGCTAATTACCTTCTAATATTAAAAAATTAAACTCATCAACAAAATTATAACAAAATTAAAGTTTTTTGACTAAATTCGACTACAAACATATCATAAAACTGGATTAAAGTAAAAATACTTGTTTTACGACGCTAAAATTTTATTAATTAATTTTTTAATTTGGTGCCTAATTGACCGAGCGCGCGTAATTTCTATTTGACGGAGCACGCGCGTGCCGACGGGTTAAGTCAAGGGTCGACTCGAACTAACGGATTGCAATGTTTAGAATGTCGATGGGAAAAAATCCCTGTTTTGACTCTGACTCTGGTAAACATGCCAAAATTTGCAAATAAATGTAGCGTTCCTCCGAAAGCAAAATTGTCGAGTTGTAAGTAATGAAGACACAGAAAAATTCTTAGCCGTGTCAGAAAAGAAAATATCATGGCGTGAGATACGATCGAAAGTTTCAAGGTTAGATCAACATTTGCGGGCCAAGTCGAACGGAAGTGTCAAATTGATTAACCCATCAAATTAAGTATTTAGGGGCGAGATCCTTTAAAAAGCCAGGAACTCAAGGAGAAAAGTATGTTCGGTCTCTTCTCCCTAGCTCAATCTGTTTATCCTCTGTGTCGGTTTTCCCGTTGTTTCGGACTTCATTTTCGTTCGGCCGTATTATAAAGGTCTTTTGGTATTTTTTATATTAACTTTATCCAGTTTGATGTTACATCAATGCGCGAAACGTACAATCCCGACGGCGACCGGCGAATCTCTCCGAAAAGCGAAATAAATCGAAATCTTAATAATTTGATTTATTTCATGCGATGGACGAAAAATATCACGCGAAAATCGCACGAAATTCGAATGAATTTCGTGCGATTTTCGGGGATGGTCAAGCCTCGAGACGTAGAATTTAAGAAGAACGTCTTTTCCTCTCTACGGTGGACATTCTGCACCATGTNGGTACATTAGAAGTATTATTGAAAATAAACACATGGTCTGTAAAATTTCAGTTTTTATTTTCACTTTAAATACTGTACTAATTAGAGCTGCAACAATTCAGCTTTAAAGAACATTTCCCAATATTTTAAAAATTCCAGCTGGCATTGTTAACTTGGAACTTTGTCTGGCAATTAAAAACTGAAAGTAGATTAAAAATAAAAAGTAAAAAAATGACACTAAAGTTAGATACAATTACTGTTGATTATGTTATTTCTTAAGAGAATAATCATTTGACTTTATAACTTTGGTTACAGAATATGTTTTGGAATATGATTGTTCATAAATCGGGGGATGTTGTACATCTAAAATGACATTGTTTTTGAAATAGGCAAATAAAAGATTAATGAAAAGCATTGAAGAGCTTGCAAATTGATATAAATGAAGTGCTTAGTTACATTGTTTGAGTGAATTTAAATCTGTTACATAAATATTAATTGAGGAGAATGAAAAGTAATATTGCATGGATAAAAATGGATTTAATTTATGTTTAACTATCATAAATAATAGCATTGCTTTTACAGTATTCTATAAATTTCATTTTAACTGAGCAACGGTACATTAGAAGTATTATTGAAAATAAACACATGGTCTGTAAAATTTCAGTTTTTACAAGTAATTTACTCTAAGTAAATTTACTGTTCAATTCAGCTTAAAATACATTAAAAGACCATTAATTTGTGTGATACTAATGAAGAATTTTTTTTAATTCTAATTTTTGCGAAATTCGAACATTGTTGACGCGTTTTTTAACGTTTGTTCGAAATACGTCACACATGACGAATCGCAGTTCGATTGTGTTTCTGGTTGTGGTCTGACGTGCTTTTGTTGTGCTCTTGGATTATGTGCTGTTTTTTGCGGTTTGAGCACTTTTGCAGAGAAGATTGAAGATTTTTCAGGTAAGTCTTAATCCATATTGATCCTAGGCGTAAGAATTTATTTAATATTACTTGGAGAATCGGTCCCAGAAGACATCTCGGCACATTATTCGATGGTCGACAGTTTGCGCTTCGAATTTGAATCTTAGATTTAAAAAGGCAGCTGAAGTGAGCATTTTGCTTTTACTCAGAAGAATTTAAGCATTAATTTAAGCTTTTGTTTTCACTGGACTAATTGCAAATTTTCTTTCTTACAGAATGAAGACGTTGGTGCGGCTTTGGAGGCGGTTCCGGCGGAGGCAGGCGGTGGCGCCGGAGGGAGGGGGTTCCTCGGACGACGCGGAACGAGTCTGTCGTTCCGTGCCGTTAGAGGAGAGGGGGCTCGACGAGCGAGAGGCAGCGGGTGAAGAAGACCTTCCCCAAGTGCGCGTGGCGTGGCATCCTCCCGGAGTCGGGATGATGCGACGCTACACCCTGGGTCCAATGTAATTGGCCAAGGTTTTCGGGGGTCATCCGGCCATAAACGTTGCTGTGGAAGATGTCAAAAGTGACAGCTCGTCCGAGCTGACATTTTCTGGTTGGTCGCGTTCTGCCCGTTCGTCCGCGACGGCGACGCCACCGCCTTGCCGAAGTCGGAATGGGAAGGAGTCGGAGGAGAGAGCCGCCGAAGTTGAGAGTCCGTGCTGTCCGTAGTTTTGTTGCTGCGGACGGCTGTGGTTTCCTTGGCCTAGGTGGTGATCCTCTTCGATTTTCTCTTCTTCACCCGGATGCGACTTTCTTACCGGATTCGACGCTTTTCACCCGGACTCGACACCTTTTCCCGGACGCGACCTCTCTTACCCGATCGTAACCCACGGACTTGTCTCCCGAACGTGACACTCGGTCGACGACAACGGATTTGACTCTCGATTGTGATCACCCGGACGTGACACGTATACTCACCGGACGCGACATTCGGCCGACCTTTCTTCCCAAACAGCTGTTACGAGGATTGAGCTTTTGCTTAGGGTACGTTATGTTAGGCTAGGCTAGGTCAGGTCCTTCGCTCTTCTCGTAACACTGTTCAGGAAGAAAGACTGTCTGACAAAGGTAATGATCTTGATCTTACGTAATAAATGAATAAACTTCTCGTTTTCTCACTGCTTTGTGTTTTGTAGGAACATTTGGGAGAGAGAAGAATCTCCCAAATGTTCCTACAAAACACAAAGCACAAATGGGAAGGGAGGGAGAAGAATCTCTCTCCCCAACTTTACCACGAAGAGGACCAAGTGGCCATTTATCGTACAAGTGAATATTTTCCGAAATCTCCGATGGTAAGAACTCTTTCGTTTCATTTTTTAACACATTTATTCTCGTATCGTAATTTACTGTTTTCTGTTTATAGACATGCCGAAGAAGTTCTTCGATCACACTCATACACACGCACGGACATAACATCACTGTACACAAAGGTATACACCGTTTAACCTTTACTCGAATTCTCGCACTCACGCATTTACACGTCAAGCGCCTCGTTCTGTGTAATTCGACACAATGAAACAACCCGAACACTCGCTTCCCACAAATCCAACCCCTGGGTCCTCGTCCCGGGAAGTGGAAACGCCAATTTTAAAGATTAAAAGACTTTAAATTGGCGGCCGAAGGGGCTCTGGTAATTACAATTTGCACTCATTTGACAGAATTTCAGGTACAGTATTCGCTGCAATAATCGATTTGCGATGACAGCCGAATCCGGATTTTCGACACTTTACTGTATTTAAAACAAATATGAAAACTATTAAGAAATTACATGTGTATGTAACAAAAATAAGAAATGGTTTGATAAATTATTATAAGTGTCGATCTACTTTTTATTTTATACAAAATATAAAATTAAGAGAAGTTAAGTTTATTTTTAAAACTGTACTCTTGTAAAATATATGCAAAGGCAAAATAAATGGAAAATGTCACTATTTTATATTTTAAACACAGATTTCATTTTTAATTTAACATCAAAATCATTTAAGATGACTCGATTTTTGACGAAATTAATCTAATCAGATTAATTCAGTGGCGCTCATCTTTATCAAAAATTACCAAAAAATTATATATAGTGACGGTGTGTGTTAGAAATAAAAGAACTTGTTATTATTTTAGGATTTTATTGTCTTTTTAACATTAAAAATACTTTTACATAAAGGTAACTTGTAACAAAATTGCTGGGGCCTCATAATCTTCTTATGAATTAACTTAATTAAACAAAAAGATAGATTCAAAGCTAAACCCATCAAAAGTAATTTTTATTCTGTGGGCGCCGAATTTTATTACGCCGATAATTTTCGATTGTCGTTTTGAAATAATTCGTTCATTCTGGATGTTAGTTTTCACTGTTATACCTCAGTGAATTCGAATGTGGAAGAAGTTTCAGGTGGCCTAGGCAGCGGGGACGTGGCTCAAATAATAATAGAGCGCTCGCTTCGCATGCGAGAGGTACCGAAGTCGATAGTTCTTTGTTTGCTTTTAGCTACTTTTATTTGTTTTGAGTTGGCAACCCTAGCCGAGAGGCGGCGCCTCAGTTTCGAATATTTGAATTTGTGTGCTATTCTAAACGATTACCCTCTTAACAGTCCAAACAATATCAAGATCTTTGGGTTTTTTGAGTCGCATGTTTTCAGCAAACTTGTACGAGCAGTCAATTTTATACGACATTGATTAAACTAAAATTGCATAAATCCAGTGATTTCCAGTCAAAAATATAATAATAATTTCGGATCATTATGCAACCCCAATTTTATGTAACGTTTTCATCAAATAGTTTAAAAGAAACAATCATCCATATCACATTTGCTGTTATGATTGAAACTAATTAAATAGATGCTAAAGCTGATGCAAATACGTATATAGGCACTTCGTAAAATGATGCAATAACATAAAAAAAAATTTAAAGTATAGTATTATTAATAAACGTTGTCAGTGTAATGCTCATTTTATAATAAGTAATATATATGTAGATATATTTTAAATTTATAAATAGCTTTCAAAAAATTCCAAAAATAAAATTTTAAATTAAATTATTTGGCTATAAACTGACAATACTTGAATAGAATACAGTGTATTCAAACAAAATATGAATATTTGTTGCCATAGCAAAATAATGCTAAAATTTTCTTTTCTACAAATAAATAGTCAATTTTACTTTAAATAAAACAACAACAAAAAAAAAATACCAATTTAATGTTGTTTGTGCATAATTTTTTGTTTACATGTTCTGCATTAATAATAAAATTTAAAGATTACTACTAAAACCTACTGTAAAAATATTAAGTCTTTTGCATTATATTTGATATATTTAAATGTGAGAAAAATATTAAATCATTACACTTTAAATCCATACCAGAAAAATGTATCAAATGCACAATTCAGCTAAATTATTTGTAACAGTATTCTGAAATTGGATGTACGAACACACAAGCATTTTAAACGTATCTGATCCTTACATTTTTTCTCTCCAGAAAAAACAATTTATGTTATTCAAATAAGATCTGTTTTTAAATGATCAGTGGCAAATAATTATTGCTATGCAAATGAAAAAATTAAATGTAAATGAAATCAATTACATATTATAAAATCTCTAGATTATAAGAATTAGATATATTTAGATTTCCATCACTTCTTTTAAAATAAAAATTCTAACAATAAAATTAATNTGCCATAGCAAAATAATGCTAAAATTTTCTTTTCTACAAATAAATAGTCAATTTTACTTTAAATAAAACAACAACAAAAAAAAAATACCAATTTAATGTTGTTTGTGCATAATTTTTTGTTTACATGTTCTGCATTAATAATAAAATTTAAAGATTACTACTAAAACCTACTGTAAAAATATTAAGTCTTTTGCATTATATTTGATATATTTAAATGTGAGAAAAATATTAAATCATTACACTTTAAATCCATACCAGAAAAATGTATCAAATGCACAATTCAGCTAAATTATTTGTAACAGTATTCTGAAATTGGATGTACGAACACACAAGCATTTTAAACGTATCTGATCCTTACATTTTTTCTCTCCAGAAAAAACAATTTATGTTATTCAAATAAGATCTGTTTTTAAATGATCAGTGGCAAATAATTATTGCTATGCAAATGAAAAAATTAAATGTAAATGAAATCAATTACATATTATAAAATCTCTAGATTATAAGAATTAGATATATTTAGATTTCCATCACTTCTTTTAAAATAAAAATTCTAACAATAAAATTAATGTAAAATTTATTTAAATTAAATTAAGTATAAATTACTATTAAACTAAATTTTTTGCAATGTTTTATTTATTTTTTTTAACTCTTTCCGCCCTGTGGGCACTAAGAGGGCCTCTTTTTGCAAGCCCATTATGGATTCGGCCATGCCCACAATGGGGCTGCCGGGCGGTGAGGGACGGGGTCCGACATATCCGAACGGATCACCTCCCGAAAAATTACTGGGGATTTTTCTACCCGTTCAGATTCGAACCCGGGTCCCCCAGAGCGGTATGCTGCCACCTTGTTCGTTCGGCCATCCGGCCGCCGCGATGTTTTATTAATAAATATTCAGAGTTTAAGTTAATACTATCATCATAATTTTATTTTTAAACACAATATGGTCAAATTAAAACAATTATACAGTAGAGCATCGATTATCCGACCCCCGATTAACCGTCACATCGGTTAACCGACCGTTCTAGTCGGCAAAATTCAAATGTCCGCTAGTGATGTGGCGCTACAATATTTGACTATGTCTTGGCTACTTTATTATTATTTTTGTTAAATTTTTGCGTGTTTTAGCTGGCAACAGGTCTCGACTATTGAAGGGCGGCCAGTATTCAAACGAGACTTAATTTTCTAATTATAAGTCGTTGTTTTTTGTGAGCAATAAAATAACTTAAAAATAATTTTTAACGATACAATAGCGACGATTATTATTTTTAAAAGAATTTGTTAGGCTAAACATCGATGAAAATTCAACGCGAAGTTAATTAATAGCGATATACTAATTACATGAAATATACTAATATACTATACTAATAATGTAATTTTTTCATTCTTTTCGGTTATCCGATTTTTTCAGTTATCCGACCAACCTGAGTCCCCAATTCAGTCGGATAATCGATGATCTACTGTATATATTTAATTATTTTATCATCAGACAGAAAAATGAAAAAATTACATTTGTTTTATATCTGGATTGCCAATCTGGATGTGAGGGTCAGAAATTTCGAGTTGTAAACTTTAAATTTTTTTAATAAAATTTTAATTGAACTTGGGATGCAACTCTATGAAGACGGAACGAGAAAACAGAAAAAAAAGGGAAAAAATAAAATCGATAAAAACCTCGATTCCCACGAGTTGGGTTCCTTGTTGAGATGAGTACATTTCAACAATGTACTGTGTCACGATTGTGTCACACGTCACCTCATTGGACCAAGAAGATCGTCATCGCTGACGAAATCGGGGAAAGGTTCAAAAAAGAGGACTTGATATAAGAGGGACAGGCACGATAAGTAAGGGGGTGGAAGTTATTAGAGTGTGTGTGCGCGCCGATCGTTTACCTCCCGCCGAGATTCCTGAACGTCAACCAACACCTCCTTCTCGCCTACAAAACTAGAAGACCTCAACACCTACTCAACTGAAAGGAACTGTTGGACCTTTTTTTGTGCTGGTACTTGATCAACAATACAACCTAAGTTATTTTATCCTGCTCGCGCACTACTGTACGCTCTCTCTCTCCGCGTAAACTAAACGCGAAACCGGTTGTAATTAGAACTAGAAAATAATCAATAACTGAACACGATTCATGTAGTTTATGTTAGCATTTTATTCACGGATGTAAACCTAATTTAGATTATATATACTGTATATAAACGTTAGCTAATCGCGAACTCGATTGTAACTAGCGATTCACGTAACTTATATTTAGCCAATATTAACTTGTAACCTTAAATTTGGATGTATAACTAACGTAGCTTACATATAAATAAACGGTTATTTATGTTTAAAGTAACTTTGAGTGCAGTCTTCCGTTATTCTCTCCGTTCACTCCATTCCAGGTCCTCACCTCTACTCCGAATCCAACCACTCACCCGCTAACGCTCGCGTGACGTAGATTCGCGATTTCCGAGTCCTGCGAGACTCGGTGGTGTCACATCCTGACGGGGTATCAAAGAGATACCGACCCTACGGTCACACTCTACTGTATATGTTTAATTATTTTATCATCATCAGATAGAAAAATGAAAAAATTACATTTGTTTTATATCTGGATTGCCAATGTCATTTATAAATTACCATGTATAGTTCGTTCATGGACACGAAAAGTATCCACTAGTTTAAACCACTTACAAACTTTACATATATAAACTCTTTGAACTGTATCATAAACTATCCGGTGATGTTTATGCTACATTTTGCTTTCCTCTGCTTATTTGCAGGAAATCTAAACAATCGAAAGTCTGTGGATTTACTTTTACAATTTGGTGTCACTCCCGTTGTTTAAAGTTTTGAGTACAGTACTTATATACGTAATAATAGTCGACTCACGCAGGAACTACATATGGAGTGTAGTCTAGCGATAAGTCCCAAAATGGCCGCTGCCGCATAGAATCACGGGAGCGTGTCTTGACCTTCTTATATAGACCTTGCTACTCACCGTCGATTCGAGCGTCACACAGGGGGCAAAAGCCCTTGAAAGTTGGCAAAAAATAAAAAAATGTTTATAGAATCTAAATTATTACTTTCGTGAATTACACTATTCCTCGCTCGATAAACCGAATGTGTATAAAAATTAACTCCATTCTGTTCCTCTAAAAGTCGTTCAATGGGAGGATTCCTCAGCGCTTTATTATTATTGCTATGGAAATTAAAAAGAAGCGATATATTGTTTCAATGTGTCAATTTTTTAATTAAAATTTTCTCTGTAACAATAATCAGAGAACAAAGTTATACGAGTCGGTAATGAATACTTTGTAATTTAAATTTTGACATTTACAAAATAGTTTTCCGCTAGAGGGTATAACCGAGCTTGTTTTGGTGGGAAGACACATGTTTACGAGATGTGAATGTATTGGGAAGATGGAGAAATACGAGAAAATCCGTACAGTGGGAAGAGGTGCTTATGGGTTGGTAGAATAAATTATTGGAGTTAATTATTAATATTTATATTATTTAAATATATAAAATGTATATTATTTCAGAACTGTGTATCTTTGTCGTAGAATTGCCGACAAAATGTTAGTTATAGTTAAACAAATCTGCGTGGATCAAATGACTAAAGAAGAAAGATTGGTCTCGCTTAACGAATCCAAAGTTCTGTCCAGGTTAAAGCATCCGAATATTATCGCTTATTATGAAAATTTCCTTGAAGAACAATCTATTGTTATTGTTATGGAATATGCTCCAGGTATGGGTTATCAAATGATTAATATCGTAAGTTACGACAAGAATATTGAAGAATGTATATGTCTATGTATACAGGAGGAACGTTGTATGACTATTTGCAACAGAGAGAAGGAAAATTATTATCTGAAGAGGTAAGGAAATGTAAATAATTTCATAACCAACTTGAACAGAGTACAGAATAGAAGAATAATTATATTAACAGTTCTTATATACAGTGGTACCTCAGGATATGAAATTAATCTGTTCTGAAACTGAGATCATATCATGAAAATGTCGTAAGGTGAATCATTTTTCCCCATACGATTACATGTAAAACCAAATAATTTGTTCCAACACGAAAAATACACTCAAATTAAAGCTTAAAAAAATATAGTAAGGAAAACACTGAAAAATGCGTTTTGTAGTTGTAAATGTATAAATAACCATAATAGAATAATAATTGATTAAAAAAAAAAAATGTAGTTTTATTTGCACTTTACTTTTGAGGATAGACGACGGTGGAGGTGTAAACTGGTGGCGGAAGAGAGGGAGAAGGGAAATGATACTAAAACTTAACTTACATGACATAATGTAACAATAACATAAAAATAACTTAGAAAAGATTTAAAAAATTATTGTTGTTTTATATATATTTTCTTAATTTTTATTCACTGCTTTTTGCTTTCTTTCCTTCACTTCCACCAGCACTTTCACTGGATAGAGGTCACGTGGTAAAATATCTATCCAAAGAGGTTTGGTTTTGCCTACTTTTTAAAATTTTTCTAAAATGACTTAGGCAAATGTCATTACTCTGAGCAGCAATACAGCCAGTGTGAATCTTTTTGGGATGTTTCTTTTCAATAAAATCAGTCACTTTCTGATAATACCTCAAGATTTCCTTTATCGAGCGAGATCCTTCCACGACGAAGCGAACACGTGGACTGAGTCCAATGAATAGAAGTGAATAAAAAATGGTGCTGCAAACTAATGTAACGGGTATGGTGAGTTTTTGTTTGTATCATGGAGCAAAAATATGTTCGAATTTCATGTCATATCCTGAAAATTTTCTATGCTGCCCGGGGCGTTTGTATCCTGAGGTACCACTGTATAATGAAAACAAAACTGTTTTAAATGAAAGTAACAGAAACTGAAAACAAAACTATTTTAATAGAAACTGCTACTTTCATTTAGAATATCAAATACAATTATTTAGATTCAGTTGTTATATATTATTGTAATATTTTAAATGTTTTGGGCTTGAAAAATTTGTTAGAAAACAGCACTGACAATACATAAAATGAAAGTAAAAATACAAACATATCAATGAAAACTTTTGCTTGTGTCTTAGATTGAAAAAATAATAGAACATTAAAATTGGTGGCAGGTCCAAGGATAGGGCTGCAGGACTTAAATCCTTCCCCATTGACACAAAAAAATAAATTTTAAATCTTCTTAAACCATGTTGTCTTATTTCTGTTTTACTTAAACATGTCGTCGTAAAAAGAACATCCAAAAATTTTAAGGTATGTAATGATAGTGAAAAACTTATAAATTTATATAAAATATGTAAAATAAAACACAAATTTATAAAATTTGTAGGAATGCTAAAGATAAAAACTGGATGTATAATAGTACGCCAATCTTATGAATGTATGTGCTTTCTATGCTGAAAAAGTGCTTATGGTATGTCATGTGAAAAGAATTATTGATTTAATATTAAAATAATTTCTATGTCAAGCTATAATAGAAAAATGAATTTATATATAATATTTTGATACTTAGTTGACTGAGAAGGGGCAGTGCCTGAAACGTGTTATTGTACTCATAACCGTATCAACTGAATAAAGATGGAATATTGCCAAGTGTTGAAATAGAAACACACTTTGTGTTAGTGAATCAACAAAAAAATAAAATTTGTTTGAATTTCAAAATGTTGTTTTTAATGTTGACGATAGAAAATATGGTTTATTGGACTATCCGCAATATGGTCATGCGTGTGTTTACCAAAGGTACTTATTAATTATCCAAAAGTTTTTACTTTTTGAGTTAGCTTTTTTATGGTACTTATGTATGGTAGGTGATTGGTTAATGAACGTAATCTGTTCCAAGATTGGGTTTGTTTACTGCCCAAATTGTTCATTAACCAATTATCAATTTACTATAGATTTTTATGGGAATTTGATTAATTCATTCTGGAGATCCCAAAAAAATAAATAAAAAATTATATAATTCCTTACTATATTTAATTATATGTAATAATAAAATACACATATATATATATAGTCTTGCATTTTTATCAGTCATGTTTTTTTCCATTTGTGGGGCATTAAAGAATCTGTCTAATGTCAATTGCTTTTCTTTCTTCTCCAGGAATTTTCGGAAGTAATTAATAGCATTGTCGTTGTAGGAATCCAATGGCATTCAAACTTCAACCTGGTTAGATGCCATTCTAAGACTGTTGTTCTGACATCCTCTCACTTCTTCAAAAGATCCTTAATAGCAAGATCTTGGCATTAGTCCTGTTTCGTCTTCTTTTTCAGAAAAAAAATGCATCACATTGAGTTTCTTGGTGTTCTTCATTCAAGAGTTCTTTTGTTGTCAGATCAATTTCAGGTTCCATTATGAGCTCTTCGATGTTCTTTGTTTTTCAGATGTGATTTTCATTACTTCTTTAGCTGTTTGAATCTTCTTGATTATATCTTTCTTAGCTAAGATTGTGCTGCTGTAGACCAATTCAAACCATACTGCCTAGCAACATCAGACATCATCTACCCACTCTCTGCCTATTATCTCTTGCTTGGTTTCTATGTTGAGCACAGTTCTTGACACTTCACTCATTTTAGGCTCTATAATATTATCACTTTTTTTTAAATAAACAGTTCAGAAAAGCACTTACAAAAATTCAGAGAACAGAAATCAACTAGTGCACAAAAAATTATGTAAATGTGAGGCCCAGATGAAATTTGAAATTTGGTGTTACGTTAACAAATATGCAACGGAAATGTTAACGAATATCTGACAGAACAGTTAAACTCTCACCTTTTGAAAATAAAAACCTACACAAAATAAGTGCCCAAAAGTCTTGCAAAGATTATAAAAAAAATTCTCTTTATGTTAGAAAGGTAAACAAAAGGCTGAAATTACAAGGGAGCGTTTCAGTTTGGAAGAATACTATTCGATCAGTATCGGGATGAGTATCAATGTCAATGTCTCCCACGCTCCTAAAGGTTACAAATTGTCATCTGGAGACAAGGGAAGACCAATCGGTATTCACTGTATTATGTTGCTTCTTGTGTTTGTTCTGTGAGGTATTCGTTATCCGAACATAAAAATCTTTTGCAAAAGTGTTTGATTTGTTTGCAGTCCAAACTGTTCATTATTCAATCACCCACTGTATATACAGTAGACCCCCTATAATGCAGGTTCATATAATGCAGATTCGTATATCGTGGCAATAAAATTGGTATAAAGATGCTAACAGAGACTCATAAAATGCGGTAAAATGTCATCACCGACTCGTGTTGCGACAGGATTGGTTGAATCTGGACCAATAGTGGACAAGCAGCCGACTTACATGCTATGGAGAGTTTAGGTGGGTAAGTTGAGTTTACTATCGTCTGTACATATATAGGCCTAAATTAAGTACTGTAAGTCTAATACAGTACTGTAATTTTATACATTTCTTGTGAAAGAAACATTTCTTATTCAACGGCCATAAAAATTATTTCTATTAATGATGTCTCCAAAGTTCAACAAATTTTTCGCAGAAAAATAACTTATCAGAAAATGCGCCCGCCATTTGGTGTGCTGCTCTGCGACGAAAACAAGCTTAAGCAATGGCGTCATTGAACAGTGCACACTCAGTATGCAATCCTACAATTTTTTTGTTTATAGCATTGTTTATACCGATTATTCCCAAAAAATTATACGTGTTTTGGAAATGTTGAGTCAAATTAGTCTAGAATCGATTAATTTTATGGAAGAAAACCTTTCAAACAGCCATAGTCCATAAACTGCACACGTGCTGGGCTGTGATTGGCTCATGTATTTAAGGATTCCTACAATGTGAAATTCTTATAAAGTGGAACGTATCTACCGCGTTATAGGGGGTCGACTATACTTCTGGACCCCCTACTAATTGAAATTGATTTTGCAATTTTATTTCTATTTTTTCAATCTGAAGTTGCTGAAGTAAAACAAAACAAACAACTTATTGCAGATAATTCATATTTTTATTCTGAATTCTTGTATTTGGTGGTGCTATCTTCTAATGAGTTACAATTTTTACATGTTAAAGATGTATTTTGGTTTTAGTCTAAAAACATCAATTTAAAAATTGCTTTTAGCAAGCAAATTGTGTATTGTCATATCCTGAAAATTTTCTATGCTGCCCGGGGCGTTTGTATCCTGAGGTACCACTGTATAATGAAAACAAAACTGTTTTAAATGAAAGTAACAGAAACTGAAAACAAAACTATTTTAATAGAAACTGCTACTTTCATTTAGAATATCAAATACAATTATTTAGATTCAGTTGTTATATATTATTGTAATATTTTAAATGTTTTGGGCTTGAAAAATTTGTTAGAAAACAGCACTGACAATACATAAAATGAAAGTAAAAATACAAACATATCAATGAAAACTTTTGCTTGTGTCTTAGATTGAAAAAATAATAGAACATTAAAATTGGTGGCAGGTCCAAGGATAGGGCTGCAGGACTTAAATCCTTCCCCATTGACACAAAAAAATAAATTTTAAATCTTCTTAAACCATGTTGTCTTATTTCTGTTTTACTTAAACATGTCGTCGTAAAAAGAACATCCAAAAATTTTAAGGTATGTAATGATAGTGAAAAACTTATAAATTTATATAAAATATGTAAAATAAAACACAAATTTATAAAATTTGNGAATTATATATTGATTGTTTTGGTCAAATACCTGTTACCATATTGCCATCTTTCTGGTAATAGCGTGATTCAACATTCATAAAAGTTTTGATCTTTGCTTACAAAAAAATTGATCCAGTGATTTTTGACATCCTCATTTGAAGTAAATGTTTTGCCATGTAAAAAATTTTGTAAAGACCAAACCAAAGATAATCAGAGAGTGCCAGATCTGGCAAATATGGTGAGTGTGGTAACACATCC